CCCCCCCAATTTTAGGATTTCCTGATAACCATTCTCCTACAGAAATTCATTCAGACGCAAGTAAATTAGGTTTAGGAGCCACGTTGACTCAAATTCAGACCGAAAGTAATTGCATACGCTTCTCGTAGTTTAAATAAATGCGAAAGAAATTATGGCGCAACAGAATTAGAAGCATTAGGAGTAATTTACGCTATGGAGCATTTCAAGCCATATATTTATGGGCGTCACTTTAAAGTCGTGACGGACCACCATTCTCTTTGTCATTTATTACGAATGAAAGACCCAAAGGACAGGTTAGCGAGATGGATCATGCGGTTACAGCCGTATGATTTCGAAATTTGTCACATAGCAGGAAAAGTTCACACAGACGTTGACCCTTTGTCGCGTAATCCTGTAAATCCCCCCATTCTAAATGCGATCCACTTGAAATTGATGAGCATTTTTTCGCGTTACAATCGCACAAGAACCAAGAGACGAGAAAGACGAAAAGTAGCAGTATCTCAGTGACACAATTAATTAAACTACAAGAATTAGACCCTTCTTTAAAAGAAATTAGAAAGGTACTCGAGTCACTGAACGAAAATCCGAAACACCCTGCTGAATTATTAAAATCAAAAATTGCAGACTTTTCAATTCGTGACGGAATTTTGTGTAAACTTTCTCATGATGAAGACACGCCGTTGTGGTTAATTTGCATCCCTGCAAAACTTCGCCTAAAAATTTTAAAAGAAATTCATGATGGTGTGCTTGGTCATTTAGGATTTTACAAGACGTATGCCGCTTCAAAGTCGAAATATTATCGGCCTAACATGTATATTCATTCCCACCGTTACATTAAATCTTGCCAAAAATGTCAATTTTATAACCGTCGTAATTTTGTAACTCGTGGAGCTCTACAACCAGACCCTCCTCCAAAAATTCCTTTTGAAAGAATTGGTATTGATTTTCAAGGTCCTTTTCCGTGTACTTGGCCATATAGAAATAAATATATTTTTGTAGCAGTCGATCACTTGACACGATATGTTGAAGCTTGGCCTACAAAAAATGTTGACACTAAATCTGCAATTTCTGTTCTTTTAAAACACGTTCTATACCGTCATTCTTGTCCTCTCGAGATCGTTTGTGATCAAGGCAGTAGCTTTACGAGTCATGAGTTTAAAAATTTCTGTGCTAAAAAAGGGATTAAATTAAAATTCACCGCTCCGTACAAACCAGATTCGAATGGAGTTTGCGAAAGAAAGAACGCCGTAATTAAAGGTATAATTGCTAAATTTGTTGATAAGTCGCACAAAAACTGGGACCAACTCGTTCCAGCAGCCGCCTATGCCGCAAATATAGCCGTTCATAAAGTAACCAAAATTTCCCCTTTTAAATTAGTTTACGGTTACGATCCGATTTTGCCCTCAGAAATTGAAAATCCGTTTTTAGTCGTTGATGATGAGCAGTTTGAGCCAATTGCGCTTAGAACACGTCAGAGAGCAAATTGGGCTGCCGCTCGTACTAGAACGATTGATTTCCAAAATTTATCAAAAGAGAAATTTGATTTAAAACACAAGCCGATCAAGTACAAAACAGGAGAGTTAGTTCTTAGAGTTAATCATGACACACGTGAAGGTGAAGTCGCAAAATTTCGACCAAAATGGTCAGGTCCGTTCGTAATTATGTCAGAAATTTCCGAAAATGTATATAAAATTTTAGACATGAGAGTAAAAAGAAATGAAAACCGTTTGGAATTTGCTGTTAGCGTTAGAGAGTTAAAACCGTATCAGCGAGAAATTCACTCTGGCGATGTCTCAGAAGACGTGTCAGACGACTCCGATGAGGAAAATTCCCAAAATTCTGATGATGATGATTTTGATTTTTCTGTTGATTTTGATGTAAACCCCCTTCAAAGACATAAACTAACTAATATACCTATTTTTCGAGCCCCTTCCAGGTCAAATTCTTCCGTTGGAGTCCCGCCACCTTCGAGACAGAGTTCCCGACCTTCTTCACACCCCAATTCCCAATTTTCTGAACCCCAAAATGATGAATATAATCATGATGATGATTCCCAAAATTCAGAGAAGTCGCACAATAATAGTTCACAATTTTTTAATACTTGTAGTTCTGGGCGTAATTCAATTAATTCTTCTTGTTCTGATTCACACAGTATGCCCCCAAGCGTTTCGGTCGTTAGTCTTGCCCCAAGAGTCCAAATTCAGACCCAAACTAACCCCGAATCGTCACAAAATGAGTCCGAACAAGAATCTTCAATGTTACGTCGTAGCACGAGAACTAAAATTCCCTTGTCGCGATACTCTCCAGGAGACTTTAGAAAAAGAAAATCCTAAAATTTTACTTATTTTTATTATTATTTTATATGTTTCTTAATTTTGTTCATGTAACGTATTTTTTAGTGTGCGGGTAAAATTTGATACACGTCACATTTTTTCGCTTTATTTTTTATTTTTTATTGCAATTTTTTATAATTTTTAAATTCACGTAAAAATTTTAACCACAATTTTATACTCCAAATTTTTCCTTCATTTTTTAAGATTACACATTTTTATCCACAAAATTTATTCCTTAAAAGAGAGAGTTTGTCGAAATGCCAAAAATGAGACGAGAAATTGGAGACGCAAAGCCAATAATTTTTACTAACAACTAACGATTTTATATGTACATACATAATACTAATGTTGGTCGTCCAACTGTTGTTTCACTTTTTTCAGATTCGGTGGCCAATGATGTTGAGACATTTTCGTCACAAGGATGCCACGTTCCTCATGTGTTTTTCCTGTCGACAACTTGGACACAAGATCGCCCAGTGCCCCCACCGAGTGCCGCCGCGCGTCCCACCTTCTTCAACAACCCCACCACGGGCGCCCAACGCGGGGACCGCTTTTCCGAAACCCCCCCTCCTGTAGGGATTGGATATCCCCCACCCGACGAGCCTACTACTCGGCACACGGAAGCCACCGTGGCCGAGTTCGACTGTAAAAAGAAGGATCTTCTCTCCGTTTCTGGACAGACCGGCCCGAGTGTTCCCAGCGTGAACACCTCCACAACACTTCTCTCCCTATTTTCTTGCACCACGCCGTCTGCGTGGCTGCCATTTTGAAAATTATATTCCTCGTACAAGTTCACATTTCATACATTATTACACAAGTTATCATTTGAAATTTGGTGTTAAATAAATCCGAAAAACTATTGTCAAGCTATATCTTGGTGCGTATTGAACAGTCGGTCTTCTTTGTAGCACATAACCATAATAATAATTCCTTGTGAGTCGGAAAAACTATCTGGCAGTTTAGTGAACTATCGTGCATAAAAAGTTTCCGTAGTGGAAAAAAAGAGACATAATTTTGTCGGTGTGACAGTGCTAAGCGAGAGGCATCAGATTCATCCTCCCCGTGCCCGTCGTCGCTCTCATCTAGGCTACCCCCCTGTCGCAAATGAAGGTGTCCGTGATCAGGAGCGTGTCGCATCCGTCCCCCGAGGACCCTGACGTCCCTTACTCGATGAGACTCGCCCATATCCCCCTACCGAGCCCACGGCGCCATCATCCCCGCCCACAACGACAAAATATTTACGAAAAGAATATAAAAATAAGAATTTTCTCAAAATTTGAAATTTTGAGTTAGAATTTTTGGATATTTTTTGTAATCTAGTAAAAATATTTCGTCTCGTTGAAATATTGACAAAAAATATGTTTTTGAAAATATATGTATAAAAGATTTACATATTTTTCAAATAATAGTGGAAATATTTATAAATGTAAATTACGAAGTTTACTAAAATCCACGCGAACTGTTCTTACTTCGTTGACAAAAAAGTTGAAAAAAATCCTTCAATTTTCCAGAAAAATATTGCCTACTTCGGAAACTGCCTACTGGGCAATAATTGACATGTAACCAGCTCGCAAAACTTGCTATAAATTTGCTAACATGGTAAAATTTAAGAAATTTGAAAATTTGAAAATTTTGATGTTATTTGAAGTCGAATCTATTTTTAAATGAATTTAGGCTTTCTTATGTAATTAAAACACAGATTGATATAGTGATCTGTGTCTGATAATTTAAAACAAATTTATATTTTGTCGCAGTGCAACAAAAGTTTATAAAGTTACGAAAGGGATGAAACAGTCATTGGTATGTGATCCTTTCTAGTTTCAAATAAATTTAGCGAAGTCTAAATAAAATTGTAAAACGTTTGTAGTGGAATTTATTTTTTTTAAGTTTGAGGACAGATCTACGTAAGCTCACTTTGTCAAGAGAAATCCAAGCACTTACAATTGAGGGTCTCCCAACGTATGCCCACAGATTTGGACCAAACTAGCGTCAATCGATCACAAATATAATTAGGATGAAATTTGCAAATGGAACTATCTGCCAATGGTCAAGTTTAGCGGAGATATTTGCATAAAAAGAGGAGAAAAGTCTGGCAAATTTGTCATTTCCCAAATTTGCCTCGCATTTTTCCCACTTTGGATGCAAATATCTCTGCCAAACGTGACCACTGAAGGTCCTGTCTTTTTGCAAATTTCACACTAATTAATTTGTGATCGATTGACGCTAGTTTGGTCCAAATCTGTGAGCATACGTTGGGAGACCTCCATTGTTAGTAGGTAATTCGACACCACACGGTGACAAATAAATTCCGCTCGCAACATACATTCGTAAAATTATGTGACTAGATTTTCTGCAAAAATGGTGACCACGCCAGCACATTATCCTCCCAAAAATTGATGCACGCTTTGAATTTCGCACTTCCTAAATGCCTATCTAAGATATTACTTAAGCGAAGCTGATTTTTAGCAAAACTTAAAAACGACGTGGAACTCATGAAAATTTAATTCAGAGTGAAATTTAATTATATAATTATATTTTTAAGCTATGTATGTTGTTCAAAGTAAGAAAATAGAGGAGGTTTCGCCACATATGTAAAGTTAGTTTTGTTACGCTTGTAAAACTGCAGGTAATAAGAAGTTAACTAATTAAATAACGATTAATTAAATATTTAAGATATTCAACTTTGTGTTTATTATTCTGTCCGAATTTGATTTAACTCCAATTAAAAATTACAACCGTAAAACATAACTTAAATATTTTTTCGCTCTCTTGAAGAATATGAAAACGTGATATTTTCACCAATAATTAAATAAATATAAATGCATTTACATATAAATATAATTTTAAATCATACCCCTAATCTATTTTTGTAAATACTTTCTACTTATTTACTTGCTTGGCACAAATTGAGACACACGCATAAATAAAAGGTGAACTCCATCCAATTTCAACCATGGCTTGTTGTTCGAGTGGTCTGTGTAGGTGATTGTGGGTTTTTGGAAATGCTGCTGGGATTCGAACTCGTGACTTACTAATATTTATGTGTTGTTGTTTATTTACAGAATATCAAACCAAACCAAACTCGAAAAACCAACTGATTTCCCTCTTCCACAATAATGCTTATGAATTAATATTTATTCCTTGCAAAACAGTCCTGTTTAATACCATTGGTATATCTGCCATTATGGCTTCTTCGCAGCAGAGTATACCTACTACAGATGAACACACACACACACAGCAAGCACACCTTAGAAAAAACTCTACGCGGAAACAATACACAAAAACAAGTAAGTAAATACGAATATTTAAATAGAAAATATCTCCGAAACAGACAAAACCGCAAGCAATTTTTTTGCAATTTTTTGAATTGTACCTTAAAAAATAGTGGTATCTTTTTACTTGTGGTAGAAATTTTGACAAAATTATCCACATAGTATTAAGAAATATAGTTATCTAAAATTGGCAATGGACCATTTATAAAAAGAAAACTCTGCTGCGGCAGTTCATTCAGGCCTTGGCAACTTCGTAAAATCCGTAAATTCACAAACTTTGTCAAATATTTTAAGGAACAATGACCTTACAAATTTTTGTAAACTTGGCCAGATCAAAGGCGTCTTTTTTATTTTGTAAAAGTTTCTAAAATTATTTTTTCAAAATTTAAGGATTTTTCAAACTTACCTGCATATTTGTATATAACCAGCACCGATGGCATCAAACTATTGGACAAAAAATGTACGAGTGGCTTTTCCACAATTTTAACACCGTATATGATGTGCAAAGGCTGTTGGCTATAAAGCAATAAATCAATTATTATTATTAACACCGTATAAAAAATTGGCAGAAAATTGAAATAATTTTTGACTAACTAGATCGTCCATCCTCCTCTAAGAATTGTGATAATTTGAAAAAAAAAGTTGCAAGTGTTAAAAAAAATCTGCTAGTTATTTTTACCGTTATGTGATTTATCTTTGTAACTCGTTACATAATTTGCAAGTGAAATTAAAAATTGCTCTTATTTGCATAGTTTGTTACACTTTTTTACAAATTAAAATTGGAAATTGGAAACTTATTTATTTGTTATCAGAATTTTGAAAACTAAAAAGGTTGGGGAGAATACGTTTCGATAAAAAAAATTAAAAAACCGATTTTACAAACACTTTATGAACGCTTGGTGGATACGAACAATATTTATGTGACGGTGATGCCAATTTCAGAAAATTATAAATTTATACGACTCAAATAAATAAGTTTCTAGATCAGAAAAGTCGTCAACTTTAATAAATATAATATCAAACGAATATTTGTATCTCATACATAAACAGGATGAAGTTTGCAAAATGATTTTGCTAGCTTTTAAGAAAAATTTCCAGAAACTGTTACAAAATCAATACGCCTCTCCCATCTGTCTGTCTACACGTTTTTCAAATTATGAAATCTGATTTTCTTTTCAAATTTATATACCGACTTTTATGAATTTACAAAGTATAGAAAAATCTTAATTCCTACCGCAACTCACGTACTTCTTGGTAAATTTGTAAAATACAAATCTTTTACATAATATTTTCAAAAATATATATTATTCGATATTTTGCAACTACAGGACGCCGTTTATAATACCGCAACTCTCCAACCAGGTTCCAGATTTGTACGTACTTCTTCATAATTGTGATATATAAAAACGAAAAATCGCTGAAATATGTATTTAATAATTATGAATAAAATGGCGACATATTAAAAAACATGAAATCAATAATTTTGACAAAATTTGTAAATGTAAATATAAATTCTCTGTATTTTTTTGTGATACGATTTCTTTAAAAAAATTCGTCTCATCGTTAAAATATTGATAAAAAATATATTTTTTGAAAATATTATGAAGATTTGTATTTTTCAAATATGTAACAATAAGTATAAAAAGATTTTAATTACTATTTTAACACTGTCGTATTTTGTAAAACTTTTTTAATCGAATCGTTCAACTAAAATCAAATTTTAAGTTAAACGCCATAATTACAAATAATTATTCCGAAAACCTTTCGTAATTACTAAGGTAAATAGGAATTATCAACAACATAATTTGCTAAAGTTCAAAATAATAAAAAAAACTCTTAAATAAATTTAAACAATCTAAAAATATGTAAAACGCATAAAATGAAAAGCACATTTTTCTTAATGCAATATAAAAAGATTCAAAAAATCACTAAACTTCAAAACCAACGAATCAATTTTAAAATATGCTAAAACACATAAAGAGAAAAATGAATTTTCTTCTTCCTTTTTTTCGAAAAATTAAAAAAAAGACTCAAACAAATCAAAAAATTAAAACAAAGGTTGTACAAATATGCAAAGATTCATAAAATAAACAATTAATTTTAAATTTACTATTTAGTTAGTTCAATATTTAAAAGCTGTAAAAATCGCTAAAGTTCAAAATTAAGAAATCGCTCTTAAACAGATTAAAAATTGAAAATAAGCTTCTAAATATGAAAAACGAAAATTCTTGAAGATTAAACTCAACAGTAAAAAAATGCAAAACAGATTATACATCGTTACAACCTCTGGTTTTAGAATTGAATAAAATTTACAAACAAATAAATTCAATAATTTTGCACACCTGTAGAAAATAATGGATTGAATAATGATTGCACAATCAATATTTGACCAGATTTCGAATCTGTTCTCCTTTATCAAATTGTACTCAAGGACACAGTTTTATTTCGCAGAAAAAGTAAACTATGCTAAACGATAAGATAGATACGTTGCCATAATATTTATTACTTAATTATAGCGATCGTGGAAAAATTGGGCAAAAGTGCACTAAATATTTGCATAATTTGCATCAGATTGTTGCATGCACCTGCAACCTTTGCAAAGGTTGTGCTTTGTAACCCCAGAAAAAAATCGGTTAGTATTTACACCCTAAAAAAATTTGGTAACATATTGTGACCCGTTATGTTCAAAAATTAAAATTGTTACTGAAAAATGTGAGCAATTATGTATATTATGAAAATCGGTTGCAAATAATTCCTCAACTTGGAAAGATTGCTAATGTGGTAAAACGTGAGCTTGTAAACTGGTAATTTGGTAATACGTATCTCCCAAATCTATATTTGCTACTAAACTTCCTTACCAAAGCGTGCAATCTGTAATTACTTAAGGAGGGGTAAGAGCGAGGTTTAGATTCTAATAATATTAAACATTTTCACTAGTCATTTGGCGTTCAACTGAAACAATTTTCATTTTATTTTAAACTTAATTTTTCGAAACTGTAATTGGAATTTATTATCAAGTGAGGTATCGTTGGAAAGGTCTCGACGAGAGGATTCCGAATATATATACTTTATTGGGTGTATGACCACTCCCTGAATTTCCAGAGACCGAAGAATATTTCTGAGTTTGTGCCCATCTACTGCATGTTAGCTCTCAATCTACTTGCTGTGTTAAATTGTGGAGAATTGCAGATTTTCATTCTTCTGCTTCTGGAACATGAGGGAGTGGTCATACACCCAACAAAGTATATATATTCGGAATCCTCTCACCGAGACCTTTCCAATGATACCTCATTTGTGGGGATCGGTGACCTTTGACCTACCAACCTTTCGACGCCGAAACAAGGTCACGCAGGTCGATTTCGACTATAAGTCCAATTTGACTATTGTTCTACTACTAAAGACCTATAACATAACAAAAATTGGGGAAACTGGAATTGACGGGCATGTTTATTTCGCAATTTCTAAAAACCAAGTTTTCAAAACATTTGAGCACCTTTATTTTTGCATTAATATCGGATTTTTTTGTTGCAAAATGTGTCAAAATATTCAACTCCCAAAGTTACTAAAGTTTGACCTTAAAGTCGCTTTCATGGTCACACCATAATTCTTTTCACGAAAAAAAAATCAGAAAAAGTCGCATTTTTCCATGTATACTCCACGTATCCTTTAAAACTTCAGTAACTTTGTGGGGACTAAATATACGCGTCGATTGGTGCAAAAAAATCGAACTTTTATTGTCTTTTGACGACGCTGAAAGTTTTTAAAACTATCACATGGGAGCTTATGGGAGGACATAGTTACACACTCCCCGTCAGGTAGCGGTGAGACTGTATCAGATCACCCCTTAATTGTGTATTCGAGTGGCAGTAAATTGATAATTTGGTAATACAAAGGTATTTCTTACCGGAATTCAAATTTTTTGTGAACCTAAATTTGTTACCAAAATTCAAATTTGTCGTCAAAACCTAAATTTGTTATTAAGGTTCCCATGGATGACGCGTTGGCGCGTAATCTCACTCTGCCCCTACCCAATGTATTCAAATGCAATTTCTAAAATCGGATCAAATCCATGAGTTTTGAGATAAATGCAACTTTTGATATTTTAATGTAAAGCTAATTTTTGGTACTACAAAACCTTGGTGTTTTGAAAAATTAGAAAATTCATTTTTGAAAAAAATTAGTCTGCAAAAATAGCAAATGCTAAAAATAGCAAAATAGCAAAATAGCTAATTTTTCAAAACACCAAGGTTTTGTGGTAACAAAAATTAGCTTTACAATATCAAAAGTTGCATTTATCTCAAAACTCATGGAGTTGATCCGATTTTAGAAATTGCATTTGAACACATTGGGTAGAGGCAGAGTGAGATTACGCGCCAACGCGTCATCCATGGGAACCTTAAAATTCAATTGTTGAATTTCAAGCTATAATCTTTCCCCCGACGTGCTATCTAATTTTTATCTAATTAGTGACGTAAAATATTACGAAATTGTGTAAACGGCGTCGAACAAAAGTTTTGTTACCTTTAACAATTTAGTTTAAAAAATATGATAAAATTGAATAAAATTCCGCAAAAACTGGTTACAAATCGGCACATATAATTCGTCAAAATTAAATATTTATTTATTATGAATATGAATAATCTGATTTTGTATTTTTAATTTTTGCTAATTTTTTAACAGTGTTACAACGCGTATTTTTTTAGAGTGTAATCTTGACAATGACATTGGATCGTATTTGAATACAAATGGCCACGTCAACGCAAATATTAATTTGATCGGGTATAAAAACTGGGAAATTAGCCTAAACTTTATCCAATCTTGATTTTCTCGTTGAACTAAAATTTCAGTCGAGTAGATTTTCAAGTCGAATCCAACCATGAAGGTGGCTCTTATCTTCGCAGCGGTGTTCCTCCAGGGCGCCATGGTTCGTAATTTAAAAATTCTTTATTCAAGTAATTTTATTTTTGGAAAAAAATTACTTAATTTTTCCGAGAGTAGAATTATTAAGCTTTTGGTCACATTTTTTACCAATGATTTGTTACAAGCTTGTACAAAAATTACCAATTGGTAATTTCCTACAGTAACATTTTTTTCCTCACTTGGTCGATTTCGTTTCCAGAAAAATTTTATTCACTCGCAAATTTTACCAGAGAATTATTAAGCTTTTGGTCACATTTTTAACAATGATTTGTTACAAGCTTGTACAAAAATTACCAATTGGCAATTTCTTACGGTAACATTTTTTTCTTCACTTGGTCGATTTTGTTGCCAGAAAAATTTTATTAACTCAGAAATTTTACCAGAAAATTATTAAGCTTTTGGTCAGATTTTTTACCAATGTACCATTTTTACCAATTTTACCAAAAGTTATCAATCTATTAAAAATTATTTCTTTAGTGTCAAGTCGTTCCGGAAACGAAGACTTATGGAACGTACAGCATGACTCATCCAGCCACGTCGGCGGGAGTTTATTCCAGCGGAACTACCAACACGTATAATGGTGGCAGCACGATCTACTACCCACAAGGCGCCACCATCACCTACCCGTCCGCTTGCACGGTCTACTACCCAACCACGGTAAAAATTATTTCCACGAAATTCAAATTTATAACCAACATTTCAGTTAAATTGACAAAATTCAGTTTGTAATTGTGAAAAAAAATCGAAGTCTCCCAGCGTATGCTCTACGATTTTTACCAAATTACTTTCAATTGATTACAAATTTTGTTAATATGAAATTTGCAAAGTACATAATCTCTAATGTGCAGGTTTTGGCAGGGGTATTTGCATTCGAAGAGGATAAAACGCGCGGCAAATTTGGAAAGTGTAAAATTTGCCAACTTTAAGTCGCGTTTTTTCCTCCTTGGATACAAATATCTCCGCCAAACGATTATTGGTCGGTCGTGTCTTTTGCAAATTTCATACTAATTAAATTTGTGATCGATTGGCACAAATTTGGTCAAAATCTGAGAGCACAAGCTGGGATGCCTCCTTTGCAATTCGGTCCTATTTAATTTGGAATGAAATGACGCACTTTTAGACCACGTGCAGCAGCAATGGTGGATCAACCTGGACCACGTACAACGCTGGAACTTATGTCAACTACCCTGCCAACTATCAAGTCCAGTACAAGGCTGGCAGCACGTGTTTCTACCCCAGAACCACTTCTTGCACTTATGGAAACTATAACGGCGCTACGAGCACTGCTATCAGGTATTTAGCGAAATCATTTTTTGAAATTAATTTTTTACACGAAAAATCATTCTATGATTTTGACACCCAAAATTGAGAATCCTTTAACCACAGAAATTTTGAAATGCCTTTCAAAAATTACAAATGAAAAAATAAATCTATTTTTACATGCGGGAATTTTGACTTGATATTTCCCAATTTTTTAAGGTATCCCGCCTCCACCCCGGTGTCATGCTACTCTCCCACTCAACCGACCTATTACGCCCCGGGAACTTACAATAGTGGAACGACGTAAGATTAATTAATTAGAATTATTTACTTATATTTAATTCCAATTAAAAATAATTCCTATTTTAATCATTGCAGTTACTACAACTATGGCAGCACAGGAGGAACCTCATACGTCAACAATAGCGATGGAACTAGATCCGCTGTCACCTGTGTTGGATACACGACCTCCAACTACCCAATTTCTTACGTCCAAAACCAAAATACTGGTAAATTTTCAGAAATTTTTGTGTTCCCAAAATTTTGAAAATATATTTTTTAATCAAAAATTTCTTAGGTGCCACAACCTGCGTGACACAGACCGGTTCCAGCAGCTACATTACGTACAATACTGCCACCAGCTCTACCTCAAGTGGAAGCACCATGTACGGATAGACTCGAATTTTTTCTGGTCCAAAATTTGCAAAATATTTTGCAATCTACATATCTACTATTTTGCAACATTTATTTTGCAATCTTTACTAATTTGAATAAAACAATTGGCAATTAATATAATAATTTCAAAACCGAAACATATTGCACAATATTTGCACCTATTTCATTTCACAAAATTAGGAAAAAAATATTACATAAATATTCTGTCAGTAAAATCAAATTTTAAATTTAAAAAATTCTGAAAAGTTTTAACTTTTCAAAAGTAATGCAAGTAACAAATTTTAGTGCAAAAAATGATCGTAAAAATAATTAATACTGAAGTATGTATTCTTTCTAAAATCTTTCAAATTTCAATTTTAAAATTCTGAAAAAATCTGATAAATTTCAAACTTTCAAAATTTGCATTCATTTACAAAATTTACTTAAAATAATTCATGCAAAAATAATCAACAATAAAATTCCCTCTTTGGAAATTATTAATTGGAAATTTCTTTGGAAATTTGGAAATTTATACATATTTTCAGAAATTATACACGGTGCATAATACACCCCCAAAAAGTAATCCAGATACACAGAAAAAGTACACAAAATTCCACATCCTTTCTCATTCACTTCACTTCGCTCAACAAGTAAATTTTACCCTCCCAACTTTCACCTCCTTTCTCCTTGATCATCAATTAGAAAATAATTAATTAACCCGAGAAGGAGGAAGAGATGAAGAGAAGGATGTGTAATTAATTAAGAATCCTACGCTTCACTAAATCCACATATTTTCGTTCCCCTTTATTTTCTCCTCCTTCAAACAAAATCAAACCACAACCAACCGGAAGAGAAAGCAGAAAGAGAACAAGAACACACAACACACGACACACAAATGAAATAAAACCTTCGAAATTCCCATCCTTTTGAAGGCGAGTGAAAGTTATACGAGGAGAAAGTGAAATGAAACTGTGCTCTGCATGCGACGCGGAACTGCGAAATTATCTTGCGAAATATCTAGGTACATATGTAAAACGCATACATAGATTTTCAAACAACAGTCTCATCGTTTCCTCAGTTCGCAAATTTCGTAAATTTTGCAAAACTTTGCAAGTTTATTTTTCTTTGCACGATTTACAAAGGTCAATTCGTCTTGCAGAATGTGCATGCATGGGACGCGGAACTGCGAAATAATTTTGCGAATTAAATACGCACAGATTTGTAAACATGAGTCTCATCGTTTCTCACCAATAAAATTGTTAACAAATTTCGCAAAAATTTGCAAGTTATGATTCTTGGCTAAATTTACAAAGCTTTTCGTCAGTGCAGAACTGCGAAATAATCGTACAAAAACATGCCGATTTATTGAGAAAATTTACACAATAAAAACCCACAGTTTTTGAGCATTTTTTTCAAATTTCGAAAAATTTGAAGCAATCAGTTTATGAAATTTAAGAAAGGTTGTCACCCAATACTTTTGTGCGACACGTTTCAGCGGCGCATGTACAATTTACATGCATGGCTTAACTTTCTACATACACGCAACTTTCACTACTGTTTCTTCTTCAAAGAAATTCTTCAAATGTTTTTTTTCTTTCATTCCAATTTTATTTTATTAAATTCTTTCTCTTAAAATTTCTCTAGTGTGAAAAGTTCAAATGTTTTTTAAATGGCAACACACTTCACAGAGATGTTAGTTAATGGTTCTTTCGTAACAATATATTTCTATTCTTTCACCTTTTTGCAACAATTTTCCCCATTGCGACACGAATCACTCGAATCCACGTGAGCTCCTCGTCATCCTTAAGAAGACCTGTGAGGTTGAAATTTTGACAAGAAGGACTGAAAAATCTGGACCCCTTGAAGTACCACAAGTTAGAAACCTGGCAGATAATGATTTATCAGTATTAAAGTTGCTATCGATTGATATTAAAATTATACCGGTCCGTATAAATTTCGTACCGGTATAGTAAAACTTTAATACCGAACTTGCACTTATCAAAACCACTTTGGTAAAGTCCTTGGTATTATTAGCTCACCCTGCGTAGCATGAGAGCTATTGAATTCCTCTTGTCCGTCCGTCTGTCTGTCCGTCTGTCTGTCTGTCCGTCTGTCTGTCTGTCCGTCTGTCTGTCTGTCCGTCTGTCTGTCTGTCCGTCTGTCTGTCTGTCCGTCTGTCTGTTAACGACCTTTTTGCATCAATTGATGCTAATTAAAATGTCCCGAGTCCATTTTTTCATAAATTAATAGCACCGTTGGTATCTGACAATCGGAAACACCAAATGATGCGAACGAATTGGGGGCTTTGATGCATAACGCACCAATAATGCATACTACTCGGCGGATTTTATTAGACAATTTTGACATAAATTTTTCAGAATTATGGTTGATCGTTAGTAGGTAATTCTGCACCAGTGATGCACAATTTTTTGCCTTTCCTCGATGCATAATAATTATTGATCTATTTTGTTTAGTTTTTCTGCACCATTGGTGCAATATTGCATAAACATTATTGATCTATTTTGTTGGATTTTTCTGCACCATTGGTGCATAATTGCATAAAAATTGTGTATCTATTTTGTTGCATTTTTCTGCACCGTTGGGGCAAGTTATAACCAAATCATTATTACAGGGTGAGCTACTTCTAACGTTACTACGGTTTATTTTAATACTGGATTTCTAAGAGCGTTTATACATAGCTTAAATTAAACTATGTATAAACGCTCTAAAGATTAAACTGTTTAATCTACTTATGTAACACGAGCAGTTAACATGTATGTTTGCAACCCATAAAGTGCATGTGTAAATTCTGTAACATTTTACCAGAAATTTTGCGAAGCTGCTTTTAAAAATTGTACAGGAATGAAGTAAACTAAGGAAAATTATTAAATTTTACAAATTTGGTTAGGTTTTCAGGTCTGAGAATAAAAAATTTGTAATATAATAATGTTATTTCTGTGAAATATGTGATTTCTATTAATAGAATTTTCGTGATTAATGGAATTTAATATAGTTCTGCATTAAAATTGACTTAATATTCAGATTCAGTATAAAATTCTGAGTATTTTCATACACGATTCGACCTGCTTTTTTTAACTTGCTTTCATCTAAAACGAATGTAAAATGCAACTTTTTTTCCAACCGGGTCAAATTTCTAATCGGATTTTGCTAAAGCATGAAAAGTATGGAAAATTTATAAAAAAATGTAATAAAAAAATACTCTCCATACATCTTTCATAATTTTAAAGCTAAGAATTACTTTACAAAATACAGGAATTGTCGCTTAAGTACAGCACATTATTCAGCATGTAGCCGTACAATCGACTACACTTATATGCACTCGTTCTCTTCCCTAATAATGACCTATGTTTGCTAAATGCTCCCAACAATGAATGTGTCGACGCTGCAGGTTTAACAAATGAAAAGACCTTTATTTAGAATAGTCACCGAATATCAAATTGACAAGTATCAAAATTTAGGAGAAGACAAAAAGTGTGTGTTGCCACACGAAAGGACAGATCGAATCTTAAAGTAAAGAATTACTCTTCACGAACTCTTGGCCACTCGGCCCACAATTTAAGTTCATTGCCTACCTGGTTTACCTTGATTTTAACCTTGGTTGAGCCAATCAGAATAAGACAAATTTTAGAATGTTCCAGAACATTTAGTAATAACCAATCAGATAGACAAGAATTATCATTATCACAATTAAACAAATATTAATATAATTAAGTCGGGTGAAACTGCAGGATTGCTGGCGCTCACTCAACACAAATTTACATACTCAGTTCTTTTCTTTCACATACACAATTCACATGAATGTCATTATTTGGGGCGTTCCGCAACACAGCAAGTGCAATAATTTTGCGAAAATGTTTAAGATAAAAATCAAATGCGAACTACAACACTTTGTCCTTCTCGGCTCAAGTCAATGCTCAGATTTTCGAGCTAAATCCAAATATCAAGTTGGGTTTGTGCTATAATGTATATATTTTAAACATGATGCCTCACTTTCCCCAGTAATAGCACCCAAAAAATCACACATCACAGTTCAATCAAACCCTGTCGAAGAGCTATTATTTTACAAATAATTTATTAAATATTATAAGGTTCGTCTGGGCCTACCTGTAAACTGTCTAAATTTTGCAAAATTTTATGAAACTAGATATCAACCTTTGTACGGTAGTAAAGTCAATTTCATAAAATTATTAATTTTACACTAGTCAAAGATGTTCAAGATTCTTGATTACGTGATGAATGGATTTTAAATTTATTATAGAAATATGACTAGTTCACACTTGTCTTTATAACCGAGTAAACTGAAAATTTTTCTAACTTTTACAAAATTAAAAAAAAGTGTGTAACTTTACAATTTATTTCGTAACTTTCACAATTTTCGAAAAAACTTGTCCAAATTTACCCAGGTGCTTTTTTGCCACGTTACAAAGATATCAGTGAATCATGTAATCTCGCTCAGAAAAGATTACGCCTGAATAACCTTCATTATTTTAATTGGTTCCTTCGACTTTCTCCCTTCACAAATTTTGGCAAATTCCTTTTATGCAAATTTTCGTAGAAAAAGATAAACCCCGTCGTACATACATTCATAAAACCGTATTTATCTCCCCTTACGACACATTTTTTACCGGATTGGACCCATTATTTAAATTAGTTTGGCCTGCGGGAGGTACTTTCAGCTTTATTCGGATGAAGAGAAATCCTTCCACGTGTGGGAGAAAGCCGACTCAGGGTGACATTGAGTTTAAAATAGTGGTATCCTCTCCTCTCTCTCTCCACGGGGAAAATGAGGGATATGGGATAAAAACACCCACAGATTTCGCAATGTTGCAAATTTACTGTAAATATGTATCTAGTAAAAGCATGACAGAGATGAAATATATTTTAAAGGTATTGTATGTATGCTTTTTCTACAAAATTTGGACAGGATGTGACTATGAAACTGGCAGGATTTAAGTTCCACGTGTATCAACGAAATGTAAGAATTTTTTTACTACAAATTTTTAATTTTATGAAATTGAAGTAAAATTTTCAAAATCTAAATGATACAATAATTTATAAAATTCCACCTTAGTAAAATAATTACTTACCTATTCTATATCTCGTTGTCATTTTAAAATGACAAAATTTTTGAAAAATTGTCATTTCGGAATTCTAGTCAGACAAATTCCTAAAATGAAGTTTAAAAGAGTCGCAAATGTTTTGCAAAAAAAATAATTACAAGAAATTAAAAGTAATTGCAAGAAAACAAAGTACTGCACTAGAAATAATTTGCGAAATAATATGGAATTTGTGCCCAATTATTGAGACGCTTGTAAAATCCGTAAATCTTGGGCAATATAAAAAACGCACGTGATCTAACGATGTAGGTCTCAACGTTTGCTGTCCTATTTTTACCAGGCAAATGTCAATCGATAGCAAATACATAATAGAAACATATAATCTCAAAATGGTCACGTTTGGCAGAGATACTTGCATCCAAAAGAGTAAAACGGGCCTTAAAGTTGACACGTTTTTCACTTTCCAACTTTATTGCGTGTTTTCTCCTGAGCATTGCAGGTTGTGTCATTTGCAAATTTCATATTCAATTGTGATCTAGTGGCACTAGTTTTCTCAAAATCGGAGACCTATATTGCGAGTTAATGTACAAAAATTAAACTAATGCAATTTGGGGTGAAATGTTGCAAATATTTGAAAAATTTTATAAAAGTTAGCAAGTTTATGGAATTTACGGATTTTACAATGTTACCAAAGACGTGAATTGTCTCAAATTGAGACGTTAAACTGAGATTTTTTGATTTAATAAAAGTACAAAGTGATTTAATTACGAAATATGATAGACTTTTATTCACATGGATTTCACACTCATACATAAATACACTGCTAAATTGTTTACATGTAGTTATACATATCTGCATACCTTACAACTAATTAATAGTGAATATTTTACGACACGCGTACCGACCCTCCATAACTTTAAATATCACAAAATTTAAAATTTAATTTTGATATCTCGTAAGGTAAATATCCCAAATATTGTTGACAATAATGATTAAGGTAATAATTATGTAAATAATCCCGTTTTTATTTTGGGGGACGCTTAATTTCAGGTGTAAGTAATTAATTACCATTATGTTCATTTTCCCATTCATGTGAACCATTACGTAAACGATATCCACACACAGGGTAATCCAAGATTAAGGATTACGATTAGGGATTAATTAATCACCTTAATCTGAATTTTTAATTCCTTATTTTTAAAAAATTAATCCTTACCCCTCACTCCTTTGATTTTTTAAATTTAATCCTTAATCTCCCTCCTTAATCCCGACCTAACCTAATCCCTAATCTCTTCCTCGATATCACACAGGTACATACACGTTTTTTATAATTTATAACGTTCACATCTTAATCAAAGAAGGGTTCGACTTCCAAGAGAGCGACTCTAACTTTGGTGGCGCCTTTGTGGTCGCCTTGTCCAAATTTTTTACCAAGTTGCGCATCTCCTGGGCCAAACTGATCAACTCGGAGTGCACATCCGCCGTGGAAGCGCACTCGGAGAGGGAGCGCTTACTACTCGTCTTGGCCAGGTCGCGCGGGAGGAGCGGGGATTTTGAGGAGAACGAGGCCGAGCGCCCGGTCAGCAAGCGCCGTCTGACGGATTCCTCCTCCTCTTCGTCCTCCTCGGCTTCCTCGTCTTCCGAAATGGACGGCAGAGTGAGCGACGGGAGGGTGTGACCGTTCTCAGAAAATGCCATGTCCGCCTCAGAGTCCGCTTCGTATCTGGAAGTGAAAGCAGTTATTAAAAAATGTGACAAATTTTGAAACTTGGAAATTTTTTTCAAATTTATATTTTTTGTTATCAAATACTAATTAATTGTTTAAAAAAATATTCGGGTGTACATAGATTACGAAGTAAAAATTTGTATCTGCAAGTGAAAGAAACGCTGAAATGCATCTGTGTATGCACACAGAACGTCACATGCATCTGTGTAATTTATTGTATTAAACACTTTATAATAATTATTACTTTCCGGTGTCAATATTTCACTAAATTTCTACGTATTTCATTTCGATGCTGTTAATATCAAAATAAATTCATACGTTTTACAAAACTTGTTAAAATCTTTGCCCACTTTGCAAAATAAAAATTCTGAGAATTTTTTAGTTACAATTTACCCAGAAAAGTGACATGTGTTCACGGGAGGCAGGGTCATTTAGCAAAATTGCTATTTCTCAAGCTATTTGCTAAATTTAGTACGATGCGAAATAGAGTAAGCTCATTATGTAAATAAATGCACAATTCATTCCACATTTTTTTTTGCAATTTGCAAATTCACCAGAACACCCAACTTAAAAAACGATTTTTTTTCTTACTCGTACCCTTCTCTAAGGTTGTAGGTTAAGTCGTGTTGAATATCGTGGGAAAATTCGGTCTCGAATTCTGGATACATTCGCAGCACGGCGATCAATCCGGGGATGTGGATACTCTTCAAATCGCAATACGTCAACGCACGAATGTCCGAACTTGACTTGATGATCTGACCCCCCTCGCACCCTCCAGTTCCGCGAAGTTGGTGTGAAATGTCGCACCCGACGAGGTCACCTTTCCCTACGGAATAATGATAGAATTTCATTTAAAACAGGGTAAACAAATCTGCAAAAATTTCACTTTTTCTCATATTTTATTCTAAACTTAGAAAAAAATTATTACAGTATAACTGTGAAACGTAAAAATGTCCAGGAAATTTATGCACGCAATCATTTATAACTTTGTAAAATCCGTAAAATAATTTTACAAACTTTTACTAAATAAGTAGACGCCCTTAATCGGAACAAGTTTGCAAAAATTTGGGAGGTAGTGTTCCTCAGAAATATTTGCAAAATTTTCTGAAAGTTTGTAGTTTGTAAGTTTACAGAAGCTACGGTTGATTTTACAATGTTACCAAGGCCTGCGTAAATTGCTTCATTGAGTAAAACCGTTCCAAATTTAAAAAAATCTGGAAATTAAAAACGTTACAAAATGACAATACAAAATTCGAATTGACACGCCGTTCTGGAGATATCTTGCCCAGGGACGGACAGATAGACGGACAGACAAAACGATCACAATAATTAGCTGCCGCTACTTACATAGCTTTTTCTCCGCTGAAGAGTTGTTGTATCTAATTATTTTATTATGTTAAACACTTTTAAATAATTATTACTTTCCGGTGTCAATATTTTACTAAATTTCTAGGCAACATAACTTCGTTTTAGAACAAAAACTCTAAAAACTCTAAAAAAATTATTGAAAATTTCGATCTGACTTTTGTTAAAAAATTCCGAAACAAGCCTTTGTTTCCTGCTCTTTCGACTTTACAAAGATTCGATTTAGATTTCTGTTAATTGTAACTTTATAAATTTTAAAATATAAAATATGCACAACTTTCGATCCAACAACGAATAAATAAAAACTGAACAATATAATGATTTCTGAATAGGTGTGTGAAGTAAATAAATTCGATTCAATAATTTAAAAGAACTGATTGTTTTTGTTAAACTTCAAGTTTTTTGATCAATGAAAAAACTACCGGTAAATTGACTCGGTCCCACTTTGCATATCGTACGGAATGGTAACAACGGTTTTTCCGAAACTCGAGTTTGATTTGACACCTTCCAGGCTGGAAGTTCCAGCTGGACATCATCATTTACCATCAAAACATGATAAAAATTTTGAATCTCAAATATGAATATAGTTTTACTGCATAAAAAAATATGTTTACGTTTATTTGTGGTTCGTATTTTTCTAAAAACTCTGTAGAGCACACATTTTTTCTAGATTTTTCGTATAATATTGCTAAATACTTAAGATCAGATGCAAAAAGAAACTTTGAGTTGAGTACGCCTAATTTCTTTTGCAGTCACAGCATAACTCAAAAATCTCGTAATTTCATTCAACCTAACTGTGACAAAATTTTCGCAAAACTTCGTGAAAACGCGTAGGATTTTTATTCTCCAATTCCAATTCCACCAAAAAATTTGCATGTTTTTATTTCGCAAATATTATTTTATAATAATGCTTTGATGTTAGTGAGCAACAAGTTTGCTAATTTACAAAATTTTTCTTACCTAAAATAGCGACCACCATGTCGCCCTGGACCACTTCCATGGACCCATTTGAGAGATAGTGGATGTAGTGGAGGGCATCCCCCTTGTGCGTCAAGTACTCTCCCGGCGCACAAAAATGGGTGCGGATATGCAACGAGAGCAGTTTTAAGCAACCATGTGGCGCCGGCTCAAAAATTGGCAGGGATAAAATTTCCTTATGCAGATGCATCGACATGTCACCACGAAGTTCTTCGGGGAGGCCTTTAAGCGTCTAAAAAAAAATATTCGCAAATCTTCTCATTTGCAATATTTCGCCATGACAAACGGCTCAGGCTCACCTCGTGCGGATCGATGCCGTGATTTAGTGCCCACGTGGTCTGAAAGTAGTCTTCAACTCGTTGCTTTAACTCTGTCGGAATTTGATGAAGTTTCAGAAAATCTTTCAAGTCGCGCCACTTGCTTTGATATTGTGACCTCCGCGCGTACATGCGCTGCACGATCGCAGTCACGTTTCCAAATACCATGGCGTGCATCAGAGCTGGAAGAAAAAGGGCAAAAAATGTCAACTAAGACTTCCGGTCACAATTATCACTTCCGGTCCCAACTTTCACTTCCGGTCTGCTCTTTAATTACGATGCCACGTGGCGAGAAGTCAGTTACCACGTGGCTAGAAATTAAACGCCACGTGGCTAAAAAATGAATCGCACGTGGTAAGATATTAAACGCCACGTGGCTGGAAATTTAGTCACACGTGGTGATGTATTGAATCGCACGTGGTGTGAAATTAAACGCCACGTGGTCACAAACTTAACTTTCCCGAGACAAATTGTTACCACCGGGGTATAAAAATGGTACCCTTACCTCCAATCAGCATGACGATGATGGAGAAAGTCTTTTCGGGAAGCGTGTTAGCTGCGACATTGCCAAATCCGACGGACGTGAGGGACGAGCACGTGAAATAAAGGGCCGTCACTAATTATCAGTCATTAATTATGAATTAACGTACTTAATTATTAATTAATTTAGACACTAATTATTAGTCATCACTAACCGTATTTGTCGGCATTGGAAATCTGGGTAACGTTAACTTCTAACTTTTCCGCGAGGGCATGCATCCAGCCTTTAATTTAAAAATTTTACTTATTTAACGATAATCGGTAAAATTATGAGTCTAACTTTTGTGTGATAATCGACCTGGTTAATATCTTATTACACCGAATTTATAATTTTATAATAAAGCGTTTTAGTTACACAAAAAACACAAATTTGAAAAAAAAAATCGCCAAAATTAGTTCTTGAAGTAAACTCAAATTTTTCTAGCCCTGAGATGCAGCTTTTGAAGGTCAGAATTGTAAAAAAATATTAAAATCACCAAATTTTATTTGACATAAAACAAATTTTTTATTAAACAATCTACAAAAAGAATTATTTCCTAAAAAATTTTCCTTCGAAATTTCTCGAAATTTTGATAAAAAAAATCTTGACATTTTTTTTACCTATAGTCCAATCTGGTCCGTTATGTTCGACCTCGATGGAGGCGATGACATACCAAATGCAGGCCAACCAATGTGCCGCGAGGGTGAAAGAAAGCATCAGCAGGGTCAAAATTGCCGCCGAGAATTGCGAGTAACGGTCCATCTTTTGTAGCAGGCGGGCCAGTCGAATTAAACGAGTCAGCTTTAAGAGATGCATTTGAGATTCCTGTAAAAAACGTTTTGTTCAAGCCGAGAAATTTCCGCTTTTAATTTTTTTAGTAAAAGTAGAAGCTCTGAATTATGCTGAATTTCCCTCAATTATTAAAAACTAACAATTTGGCATTTTGCAAAAATTGACGTGCAAATAAATTGTATATTATAATAAATAATTAGTAATTATAATAAATAATTTTAATTTTAATTTGCATAAACATCAACAAAACCCTACTTTTCCCTTTGATTTTCTTTATAACGCAATATATGGCGTATTATTTATAAAACAAGTTGGTAACAAAATCGTCACCGTCTATGGTCACTCATCAATGATGAGTGACCATGTCATCATCACGTTCGCAACGATGTATCACCAAATGGTGCCAAAAAGTTCCATGAAACATAAATTCGACACCATCTAGTTAGAACTTGATTGAGATTTTTTTTTAATGATTTACACAAATTTCACTTCAGCTTCCAATTTCAAATTTGAAAATTTCTTACACAGTGAAAATGAAACATTTTTCCACTATTTATATAAATTTCGAAATAATAACAATTTTTATAAATTTGTCCAACTTTGACACTCACCCCGGTCACATCTTTGACAATGTTGGCCGCAAAAAGTAGGTCGAACGGGAGCGCGGCGAGAAGATCGAGGAGAAACCAGCCTTTCGCGTAACTTATCGCAATCGCCGTCGGATTCGATACCACTTCACCTTTAAAATTTTAATTAATAAGAAAGTTTTACTTAATTGTTTACTTAAATACATATTTATTAATTAACCATTTATTAAAAATTATTAATTACATAATTTCACCTTTATTATTCACAATCGTGGTGCGAAAATGGAACAGAATATCTGCAAAAAAAAATTTGAAAAATTAGCAACCTTTTTATGAAGTTATCGTCTAATTGTAAAATAATATTTAAAATTTTAATCCGTACTTTACATAATACATTTTTTTGGTAAAATTATGATAACATATGTATAACCTCCCTTTCCTTCCACCTAAACCATTTGTTCCCTACTAAATTTTCACTTAAAAATTAGTTCGACTTGAAACGCTTGCAATTTATCTTGGAAAGGTTTGAAATTCAGATCGAATTTTTTGTCCTATTAACGTCAAACATTTTAGGAAACTTTGCTATTAATTTTGAAAATTAATTAAGGAAAATATTAAAATTTACAAATTCCGTGTATCATATTCATGTTGCAAATTTTATGACTTTGCCAAGTTATCTGATTAAGATTATAATAATTTATTTTTCTGTAAATTCTATATCGACGCTTTAGCATTGCAATTAATTGAAAATTTACAAATGTGACAAATTCAATTTTATTTTTGCCCTATCGCTTTTTAGGAAGCTTTACTACTAATTTTGAAAATTAATTTAATGACAATTTTGAACTTTACAAATTCCTCGTACTTATCATAGTCACGTTGCAAATGTTTTGAGAATTCAATTAGTACTGTAGAGAACTAGTTTTTCTGTAAATTCAATATCGATGTGTTAGCATTGCAAAATTTAGCAACATTTTTATAAAATTTTCGTCCAGTTATAAAAATTTATTTATTTTTTATTTAAAATCATGATCCGTAATATGTCTAAAATTATGACAAAATATTATCATAACTCCCACTTTCCATCTAAAAAATTTACTCCTTACTAAATTTTCATTTAAAAATTATTTCGACCTGGAGTGTTCACAATTAATCTTGCAAAGGTTTGAAATTAAAATCAAATTTTATTTTTACCCCGTTCACGTAAAAGCTTTTTAGGAAACTTTACTTTTACTTTACGTTAATTAATTCCAAAACTTTAATTTCGGAATTTAATTTAATTTAAATATTGGAATTTACAAATTGCTCGTATAATACTCATATTTCAAGTTTTTAACAGTCCAGATTCATTTAATATGCTTATTATTAAATAAAAACTTATTTTTCTGTAAATTCTATATGGACGTTGTAGTATTCCATTTTATTTCGTTTAAACATGTGACAAAATAATTATACGAAAGTCTTTATTCATTTCGTTTAAGTTTGTAAAATTTACTAAGCATTGAAACTTTGAAACCTTATCAATTTTTTGTGCTAACAATTACCGCATTTCCTCAGCGAATAATGATCTCGGAAATGAACATTTCCTTAGGAAAGTTGTAAACAAAACATCTCATGGTTTTCCAGCAGCAATTTTGCAAAATTTGGCAAATTTCGCTAAATTGAGCACCCTAAATTTGCCACCGTTAAAGGAATTCGTTAGAAAACCCAACTTTATCAATACTGGGACTATTTTACATATTACATTTTACTAATTTTGACTTTGCAATATGTCCCTGATTTAACACCAATTTGAATTTTTTCACGCGTTCAAATTAAACCCACGCACAGCGCATGGCATGAAATTACCCCCAAAAAAGCAACATTCTGGTCTTTTCCACCCAACAAAAGTTGTCCTTTTGATCTCGAAGGAAGCTTTTCATGCGGGAGAAACTTAACTTGGATCAAAGAAATTTCCCGAAATCTTTATCCGTCCATCCGGGTAGAAAAAAATCACCCGGGTAAAATCAATCCCGTCCTTTCTGTCGGATCCCCACCCAACAAAGTTGTTGTTTGTTGACCAGTTGGACAACTTTGTCATCGTCTCGAACAAAACAACCGCAACGCAACAGAGAATTCTCGTCGTGCTGGTTGGATTGCTTTCCTTTCAGGCGAGAGGGAATTTCCTTCCCGGGGAGAAAGTACGTTTTAAGTGGAGAAAGTTGCAATGGCCACGATGCATGAGGATACAATGCATGAGGGAGGGAGGGAGGAGGGAGGGATTAATTAGCAGAGTGTCCATATTACCACGAGGCAAGTGTACATGAAGGACGTGGTGAATCATAGAATCACTAAATTTCACTTCGACTGCTGCTTACATACATAAATTTAGGCTTCGGATTAGAAAAACTCCCAAAGAGAGCGCAATAAGGGGCAAAATTTAGCAAATTTGCCAAAAATTTGTTTAAATAATTACACAGTACTTTAAAGACAAGTTATAAAAAACTTGTCAAAAATCAAGCAAAAACTGTTGAATTGATAAAAAATAAGGATTAATTAGCAGAGTGTCCATATTACCACGAGGCAAGTCTACATTAAAGGATGTGGTGAATCACTAAAATTAACTCCGACTGCTTATATAAATTCGTGCTAAATAATCCCAAAAACTGCGCAATAAGGGACAAAATTTATTCAATTTAACAAAAATATGTTTTAAAAATTATCCAATAATTTGTCGACATTTTATGAAAAGGTGTTCATGTAAATTATTTGTAGTCAAAAGTCAATCAAAAACTGTTTATCAAAAATTATCTAAAAATTTATCGACAACTTATTAAAAGGTATAAAATTAGTCATAAATCAATCAAATACTGTCAAAGGTTTTATCAAAAAATCGTGAAAACTTTGTTAAAATTTTTATTAACAATTTAGTAAAAATTTATTTATCTACTTACATTGAATTTTAAGTCAGAAGAATAATTTTCTTCGGGATAACTATAACTCAGAAATCTATTCAAATTATACGTCCTCTACATCAATCATATTACACGTGAGGGTTGAAATCCGTCTTATCCCGCGTGCAAATCCCCCACCCACCACGAAACCAAAGTCTGGTCTGTAACCACATCAGACAAAGAGAGAGAGAGAAAACGAAGGAGAAAGTCGTGCCGTCCGTATTTCTAAACTTGACGCAAAAGCTACAAGTTTCACTCCCTCAGATAAAAAAGGGCTTTGCATAAAGTGTGGCATCGTTTTGAGCGGAGGGTAATTATTGAGACAATTTACGCAGTTTTGTTACCAAGATTTTGAATTTGGCAATAAAAAATGTATACTTTTGGCGACGAAATAAATAAAATGATATATTAAAGAACACATGTAATCATATTTAGATTCATTTGTTCAAACATCAAATTCAAGCACGAAACGGGTGTCAAACTGTGAATTAATTTCTTTCTGGTCAGATTTGAATTTCCTGGAAACTTCAAAATTTTGTGAAAAAAAATAAATTAATAGTTAAACAAAATTTCGCCACGTTAAGGTTTCCAGCAGTGCTTGGTAACTTTGTAAAATCCGTAAATTCTGTAAAAAAAAGTTGCAAACTTTTGCAAAACTTTTCAAATTTTTATAAACTTTCTCAGATCAAGGGTGTCTCTTTATTTTGTAAAAGCCTGTAAAATTATTGTATAGAATTTACGGATTTTATTTTACAAAGGACTATGTGAATTGTCTTAATATTGAATATTACACATTTACTACGATTTCCTTCCATTTTTGACACGAGTGAATGGCAGTTGTCGTTTACTTTGTTTGTAATGCTGGGCCAAAATTCCCAAAATTATGGTTACAAAAAGTTCCCCGAAAATCTCCTTAATTCCTGGTTCATGTTGACCATGTTTAACTCATTACCGCTTTGCATAATGAACAAGCATGGATTTTAATAGTCAAAATTCCACGAAAATCGATCTCATCCTTTACGCACGATCCTTTATATTGCGGTGAATATGTAACTGCTTAATTTCCCACCAGATTTCGAAGAATAATGGCCCCGAGAAATCCACGTTGCATTAATTTGTTGCATTCACTACTTGTACTTTTGCCCTCATACATATGTGGCACAAGGAGAAAGCGCATGTTAACTAGTTTGTGGCTCCTAATTACACAAAAAAATTGGGTAAATTAGCTAATCAGGATATTTTTCCCTCTTATTTCTTATTTCTTACTCGCCAATTGACAATTAAATATCGAATTCAAAACTACACAAATTGTGCAAAATTAAAATACTGCCACACTTCTCAATGTTAATTTCATCTTTCCCAATTTATTTATTTAACCCAATTAATGTTCAATGGTAAAATTTGATTTCTGGTGAAAAGTTTTCACTTAAAATAGAATATTTTGAAATCAGGATTTGGTAATTTAAAGAAAAATAATTTTTACACTTTTTCGAAAACACCGTACAATCTAATTCCAGTTTATGACCAACATCCAGTTCTTTAAATAATTAAATTTCGGATTCGAAATTACACAAATATCAAGAAAGCTTTATAATAAACCTGAAATATTTCTATATTTCTCAAAATTAATTTAATTTGCCCGATTTATTTATGAAAAACCATATCATAAATAATAAAATTCAATGTAAAAAATCAAAATTTACAGGATATTTCTGAATTTGTGATTTTTAAAATTAATTTTTACAAGACTGTAAAAATTCGCCGAAAAACCCATTTAAAAGGTGCGAAAAATATTGGTTGTTTATCAAGTGGACAATTCTTTTAACAATTAAACATCGGATGCAAAACTGTACGAAGTACAAATTCTATTCACAAATGCAATGCAGTGAATGCAACAAATCTTGCGGATCATTTAAGTCGATAACATCTCAAATACAAAATTGTTGACGTTTAAGCCATGCAAATCTTAAAATTTGATTTGTCTCGACAAGTTACAAGAAAATTACAACAAATTTTATATAAAAAATTTTTTCGCTTATTTGTTTCGCTTTTTCGCTTATTTTTTTGCTTAAACGCAAATGTTACTTTTCGCCCTGATTTATATATTTTCTTATTTTAATCTTTCATAATGTTTAATTTTTCAGCATTTCAAATAAAATGTTGAGACAATAAAATTATCACGCAGTGCTTGGTAACTTTATAGAATCTTTGGAAAGCTACAAAGGCAACGTTTCTAGCTTCCAAATTTTTTTAAGCTTACTCACTAGCAGGCGTATTTTTTTATATTTTATAAAATTTTATAAAATTATTTTACGAAACTTCCAAAATTTATAATGTTACTAACGACTGGGTGAATTGTATAATCCTCAGTATATGCTATTTATTAAGCCGGGCAGTTTTAAATTTTTTATGAAGTTCTTCGACTCACCAATGATGAACAAAACTTCCACCACGACATCTGGCACGGAGGGCACGGAGGATTCATTTCTCCCGCCAAACGCGGCATTATAGGGGACGAGGACCGCGACGTAAAACGTGGCGACCAAAATAAGCCAATCCCAGCAAGTTTTGAAGCTGCCGTAATGCGACAATACGAAACGGGATTGTTCAATAGCGGCGGTTTTGTACTCGGGCAGCGGAGCTTCTGTGGGCTGCAGTATCGTCTAGGAGAAAATAAGGGAGAAAGTGGAAATTTTGAAAAAAAATTCAGAATTTTTAAAGTAAAAATGTGAGAATTAAGAAATTGACGTCCATGAATTTAACAGAGGCGGACTTTCACTCGTGCGAAGTGCAAAGTATTCGCGATAACCTCTGCGGCTCAATATAACTTGCCAAGTATGGGAAACTCGGAATTTGCAATATTTTTCAAAATTTTGGCGAATGTGATTTTGACAACAAATTCCCAGAAATCCATTTTTATTAATTTTCAAATTATTTGCGAAGAAATGGGTTGAAATTCAAAATAATGTGATGGCAAATATCTTACATTTTGCAATTTCAACTTGGTCTGCTTCCCCGACGGAGGTTTCATCATGTAATGTCCGGAAAGTTGGTAGAGAACGGCGCGACTTCGCCTCCTCCCATAATTTGCGGGGGGTGCTTCCGGATCAAGGTTCCCGTTCGGGTCTGGAATTCCAAAAAAATATTAAATTACTAAAAAAAAAAATAGTACCATTAATTATTTGCAAAATTTCATGCTAAATATTGGCAATGTATTCATTGTACGATTTGAGTGTCTTGAGAAATTGCAAATAGCGAAAAAATTATCTATCTATTCAAAATTTTCAGATAAAATACCATATATATTTTTCGATCCAATTCGGTTAAGATTTCTATATTTTTTTTTCTCCTAAGCAAATCCATGTTTAATAATGATGTTAGTTACTAAACGATGAGAAAGTAGGCAAATTGATGAGTTTACTAAAAACGAACGTTTTCAAAATTTATAAATCAAATATTTTAGCCTACAAAACGAAAATATGAAAAATATGCCAGATTTTATTGCCGAAAGTGCAAATGTAAAAAAACTATTTTCGTTTTACAAAAAGCGGAATATGTATTTTTTTGACAATAGATGTTTTGATAATCAACATAGTAAACTGCAATTCGGATCTAGAATTAAAATTCGAAAATTTACAAACCGTTGTACTTCATAAAATCGTGATTTACCGTACAATCTATTTCCGCCTTATGTTTGAAATTTCTAAAATATTTTTGATTTAATTCGATCCAATTCGCCGAAATTTGTGTCGATTTATCCAAATGAGATATTACAAATTGCAATAAAATTGCACATTCTCCACAAAATAAGAATATACCGAAATTTGTACTGTTTTTTTAATAAACCGCAAAACTCTTTAATTCAATTTAGCAATATATTATATAGCTCAAAAAGTATTATTTTTTGCCGGAAACGAGGTTGAGAAAGTCTAAGGAAAATATCGCAACAAAACTTTCTTCACTTTCTTCCCAACTAATCGCTCAGCGTGGGAGAAAGCAATCTCAGAAGATGAACGAACTGGACATGCCAAACTATTCGCAATCCTACGCAAAAAAACTGGACACGCATCGATTACATAAGAACATAATCGGGTTTCATCTCTTTTCACGGCATTCTCTCCGTGAATACACTCCGGAAGTGAAAGTATGACAAAGAACATTCGATATACAAGCCAAAAAGATGAATGCAATTTTTTGCACGAGGGAAAACTTGCCAATAAAGTTTCGCAGTAATCTTTTCTTTCATCTATCAAGGAAAAGATTTAAGTGGTCAGACGGAAACTCTGTTGCGAAAAGTGCACTGAACTTTTTCCGGGATGGATTTCATCCTAATTTTCAAAATTAACTGACGAATCGATTAATTTATTATTATTTTTAGACAAAAAATATTTCAAAATATTCCAAAATATGCTTCGTAATCTTTTAAGCATATTTATCCATCCATTACAAAATGCGTAATTTTGTGCGTTTTTTTCGATTTATCCCTTGGCGAAAATTAAATAAAAGCAAGAAAAACATTTCTATCTGAATTTTAATGGATCACATTTCAACTACGAAATTTTAAAAATGCATATTTACAAATGTTTAATTTTTCCAACAATTTAACGCCAAGTGAAAAATATTTTGGAATATTACAACCGCAAAATCGAAATAGATTCCAAATATTTGATGTGGATAAGCAACTTTTTAAAATTTGAAACTCTCCATTTAAAGGCGAATTTCAAATAATTTCAATTAGCGATGAAGACGAGTGCTTATCTATTTCGCTTTCACGAAATTTATTTCTACAAAATAATACACTTCGGCAATGATATGTTGCATATTTTTCATATTTTCAGTTTTTGGCCTCAATTTTTTTTTATAAATTTGAAAACATGTTTTGTACGGATCACGTTTCAAGTATAAAATTCCGAAAATATTTACAAATGTACAATCGCAAGATAAAAATAGGTAGAAAATAGCTTTTAAAAAGTACGGAAAACAATTCATTTAAATTATGAATTTCCTTTGTACGACTTGACCGAATTTCACCTAATGAAAATTATTTCCATCTTTAAAATACTTAAAAAATATGTCTGTTTTTGACGTATTATACTTTCGCCAATGAAATCTGACATATTTTTATATTTTCACAAATTTTGCATAAATTTTGGAAACATATTTAGTAAATTTTCTTGGACCAACTTTGAAGAATAAAATTTTGAAAATAATTACAAATTTTTTTAAATTTAACACCTAATAAAAAATATTTTAGAATATTACAGCCACAAAATCGAAATAGATTCCATAGATTTGATGTGGATAAGCATCTCTTTAAAATCAGAAACTTTGTTTTTACGGGCGAATTTCAATTAGCGATGAAGACGATAAGCTGGATGGTGCTTATCTATTTCGCCTTTACCAAATATATTTCTACAAAATAATACACTTTCGGCAATGATATGTGGCACATTTTTAAAAATTTTCAATTTTCAGCCTCAAATTTTTTTTATATAAATTTTGAAAACATATTTTTCATTTATCACGCTATAAAATTCCGAAAATATTTACAAATGTTACAAGCGCATTATGAAAATATTTAGAAAATAGTCTTTTATTTTAACAGTACGGAAAATAATTATCTTTTAAATTTTAAATTTCCATTGTCCAATTTGAGCCGAATTTCTTCGAATGAAATAAATATATTTTAATCTTTAGTAAATTTATATGTCATGTTTGTTTTTTTTTAAATATTACACTTTCAGCAATGAAATCTTGCATTATATTTTCATGATTACAATTTTGAAAACATAAACTCCTCAGTAAACTCATCATTTTGTCCAGTTTCTCATCGTTTTTTAGTAGATAACATCATTATTAACATGGATTAGTTACGTAACAAATATATCAATCTTAACCTGGTATATTTTAAATATTTTCATTCTTTGCATCAAATTGTTTATAAATTAAATTTTAAAACATATTTAGTAAATTTTTATTGATCACGTTCAAGTGTAAAATCCTTAGGATTAGACTAGATATTTGCAAATGTTTCGATTATCAAACAATTTTCATGGATAACGTTTCAATGATAAAATTTTGTAAATATTTAAGATCTAATATTCACTCTAACCTTTATGAAGTACGGGAAACGAATGTCTTAAATTTTCAACTTTTCATTTTGTTACAGAAAATTTCGTTTGGACGAAATTACTTCGTAAGTTGTCTACCTATCAAATATTTATGGAATATATATTTTTCTACATATTACACTTTCGGCAATTAAATGTGGCATAGTTTTTGATATTTTAATTTTTTGACTTAAAACTTTCTTTAAAAATTTTAAAACCGTATTTGGTGAACTCTTAAATTTTCCCACTTTCTCATTGGTTAGCAACTACCGTCATTAATCAACATGTGTAGATTAGCCATGTGAAAAATATTGAAATTTTAATCTGGTATATTTTTAATATTTTTATTTTTTGGCCTCAATTTTTTGTATAAATTTTTACAATAAATTTTCATGCATCACGTTTCAAGTATAAAATTTTGAAAACATTTTCAAATGTTTCATTTTTCAAATAATTAAACGGTAAATAAAAAATATTATTTTAGAATATTACCAGCACAGGATGAAAATAAATGTAGTTTTTATTCTAGCCTTTATTAAGTAAGGAAAATCAAGTGTGTTAAATTTTAATTTAAACTTAAATCGAACTTCGTATCGCGACTAATGCTTTCGACTCATCTGAAAGCTCCATATTAAATATGATTATTTTAAATATTACACTTTCGGTAATGAAATCTGTCATATTTTTATTTTTATTTTTTTGGTCTCAAGTTATTTATAGAAATTTTAAGAGCGTATTTAGTAAACTCTTCAATTTCTCTACCTTCTCAGGGTTTAGTTGATACAATCATTTTTAAGCACAGATTATCTAAGTGAAAAATAAAACTTTAGCATATTCATTCATGCTTCATATTTTCATTTTTTTCCCTCAAATTTTTTTCACAAATTTTGAAAACATATTTAGATAACTTTTCAGTTTGTCATAAAACTTTCTCAAAATTTATTACTAAATCACATCATTTTTAAACACAGATAGCCAATGTGCAAAATATTGGAAAATTATATCGTGGCATTTTCTACAAGAAAATGAATCTCACCTTCTAAATATCTTTATTCCACGTGTCACCCATTTTGTCACCCATTTTGTCACCCTGGGCGTGAAAGTATGTCAACTTTCGTGTAAGTAAAAGTATAGATTATTTTTAACACGAAACTTTCTCTCGGTCCGGATAAAGGAGAAAGTGTGACAACAATAAATCCAAATTATTCACGGACATCTTGTCACCAATCGGGAAATGTCACAAATTGGGTTCACACGCACTTTTTGGGGAGGAGCAGAAAGTCGTGTCAGAAAACGAGAGGTATCATGCTGCGTGTCTAATAATGCGTCATGAAATTCATACGCGACTTTCTCCCCGAATAAATTCACATAATGAGGCAATTCACGTAGTCATTTGTAACTTTTAAAAAATGGATAATTTTATAAAATAATTTTAAAAACTTGTACAAAATAAAAGGACGGCCCTCATCTGAGTAAGTTTACAAAAATTTGGAAGCTAATTTTTCTTAGAAATATTTGTAAAATTATGTAAAAGTTTGAAAGTTTATGAAATTGAAGTATTTTACAAGGCTACAAAGGCCTGAGTTAATTGCGTCAATATGTTTCCTTAATCGTACCCAGAAATTGGGGATTACAGCTTAACAACAAAATCCAGAGTCAATAAATACATGACTAACAAGCATCAAATGTCATCTTATACCTTTAAAGCAGACAAGTCGAATATATAAAAAACTGTGCAAAAACTGCGTCATAATATTCGTATGGCTTATGTATAAGCCCACTTATAAATTTTCTGTGACGTACAATTACTCTATTTCTGATCTGTGTCTACTTAATCGAACCCAGAAATTGGGGATCAAATTTTAAGTGTCATGTAAAGTGTTGTGTCAATGTCATGACGTAGTTAATAAAAAACTGTCAAAAAATATCACTAAAAAAACTAACAAGCATTTCAACTTCCTTTAAGTAAATCTCAACTCAAATTCTTAAACCATTCCCATTTTTTCGATGTGTTTT